GCCGAAACATCATCTACAAACGCAAGTTACATTCAACCCTTGAGAAAGCCGGTGTCACTTGGCTTCACTTATTTACATCTCCACATTGCTCTGTCCACCGTCCATGTAGTTGATCACCTTTCTCCTCCTATTCTCTCTAGCCTTCAGCAAAATATCTTCTTCATATTAGTTCTTTCATATGTCAGCATAAAACAATGTAGTACCAGCATCCAGGAGTCATATCACCCAATTTCGGGTGGGTGTCTTGACTAAAAGCACACACATTTAGATAAGTTGTAGAAAGAAAAATATTTCCCCATATTTCCTTTAATTTTATTATTATGTTCTGACTAACGACAGGCGATAATAAGCTATGACATTGTTAGGTGGAAAATATGTCTATGAATTGAGATAAATTAATATTAATATTCTACAAAAGTTCAGCATTATTTATCTTACCAAGAGTTGAGTGCTTTATAATTAATCAAATAAAAATATTAAACCCACTGACTCAGGTTTACCTGAATTCTTGACGGGCGGCTCATAGACAAGAATTGTATCATCAGCCAGATAAAATGAGATTATGAATCGGCGACTTTGGTCTAGGGCTTTGTCTGTTATCATCTTAGCAGCAAATCGGAGAACATGCGATTCGTAGCCAAACCGATCTTTGGCCATAAATTTGACAAAATCTCTTTGAGGCGGAACTGGAATCAGCGAGTGGCAATTGGCAAGCGAGTCCTCTTCTGAGCCCCAACCGTTGTAAGGTGGGTTCGAATGTGCAACCGACGTATGCTGGGTGAGCCGCGGGATTTTAAGTGGCGTAAAATCATCTGGAAAAGGAGCAAATTGAGGCATGTTTAGACGCATAATCGGACGACAAACGAAGCGCCCATCTAAGCGCCTGTTATATGCCAGTAATACTTTATTTCACATTAAAATACCGACTAGAAAACTTATAAACCAATGAAGCTGCGGTTATGGTTTGAACTCGTGGAGCCTCGAGGTATTTAGATATTTACATCTGATTAAAAACATAAACCAAATTGGCTTGCATGTTTGATTAAGGAATAGCCAAACTTTTTGCTGTAGCTAATGACAGTCGATTATAGAAATTAAGTCATAGCTAATTTAAGGACAGAATTTAGAGGAAATTTGGACTTCCATTTTAATCATCTTTTACCCTTAAAGGAAATACAATAATATGATATAATATAATATATAATATATAATAATATAATAATTATAATATATATAATATATATAATATGATATATAATAATATAATATACTGGTAGTCTCGAAACTCTACTTTAATACGAAAAGAAATACAATAAATTGTTCAATTATGAAG